ATTAAGAAACGATCTTGTATCTTGTGAACTATTGACATTTTTAAAGATATAAGCTCATCCCGAAGTTACACTCATCGAGACCTTTCATTTGAGTACCCACATCATTTTTTCATATATTTATATATATATTATATATATGTGTATATATGAAAAATATATCAAAATGCATGTGGGTACTCAAATGAAAGCTCTTGATGAGTGTAACACCAGGATGAGCTTATATCTTTAAAAGAATCAATAGTTAAGAAAGTACAGTGCAATTTAACAAAATTCATTATTTAATAAAGCAAAATTTTATATATTTATAGTTCATAAGTGACTGCAAGGCTGTTAATAAATATTACATATTTTATTAAATAAAAATGAATAAAATTATCACACTTACCAAGACTCTGAACGGCTTGTTCATGTATCTCATAATCAATCCCAGTAAACATAATTTTATACTGCATCTCAGCCGGACGATGACTGTGTCTCGACCTAGCTGAAGTAGAAGGCGAATCCATAACACTATTTCTCGACCTTTTAGATGCAATTGTACTGTTAAGAGTACTCGAGGATGCCGAAGAAATGGAAGTATCCAAAGTCGTTTGATCAGCAGCCGCTTTCTTAGTTCGTTTAGCCGCAGTTTTTTTCTTAGCTCCAGTATTTTGCTCCTCATTATTACTATTATTCGAACTCACTGAAGCACTGAGCAAGCTCTGATCAACATCCACTTTTTTAGACCGTTTAGCTACAGTCTTTTTCTTCGCCTCTACTCTAGTAGCAGTTTTCTGGTCTTCGGTACCCGAGCTCACTGAAGCGCTGAGCAAGCTCTGATCGTCATTAACTTTTTTCGTTCGTTTAGCAGGAGCTTTTTTCTTAGGCTCAGCTTGAGCTTTTTCTGCGACACTAGAATTATTTGACTCGGAATTCTTCAGAGCTTTGCGAGGCCGCTTCGCAGGTACTGCATGGTCTTGATCTTGATCTTGATCTTGACCTTCACCTTCATTCAAATCACCATCATCAATAACAAATGCTCCACTCTTCAACTTCTGAGGAAGTACGCGCTTTCTTGTTGATTTTCTATCAGCGACTTTACTAGCCGCAGCCGCTTCTTCTTTAACCTTTACCTTGTTTTTATTTTTACTCCCAACTTTCTTGAGACCTGTCAAAATTTTTTCTTTGTCATTAGCATTAAGAAGGCGATCTGCCAACTGTTTTAAACGAGCAAAATCAACCTCACCATCAGACGAAGAATCATCATCGTCAATACTCTTTAATTTGGGTAACTTAACATCTGTATGACTAAAACTAGAGTTAGGAATTATTTTTGAATTACTAAAAATACCATCGTCGTCTTCCTCTGACATCGCCTTTATTTTCGCCATTGATTTTTGAAGTTTTTGAACAATGTTACCTGATGAATAATCATCTTCACTATCTGAAGAATAAACAGTCGAACTTGCTGGGTTAGCATCAGTACCAGCAACACGAACATCTGGTAAGCCTGCAAAAAAATCGTCTTCATTAACCGGATTAACCGTTTGTTTTTTTTCTTTCTCGGGTTTTGCACCTTTTTCTGTAACTAGATAAAAAAAATTATATTAATTTTTTATACAATATCCTTATAAATTTAATCATGTTAAAAAAAGGTAATGATTTACAAGTGGGGTCAAACATTTTAATTTTGAATTTTTTTGAACGAAATTTCTGGTTGATTTTATTGATATTTTTTTAATATATTAAGTACAAGTAATCGAAGTGAGAATAGAAAGTTAAGTGAATTTTGGTAGCACAGATACAATACAATTTAATTAATATCGAAAGAATTAATAAATAGAGAGTTATTTATTTTTTTATAAAGGATGTATGAAAAAAAAAATTTGTAACTTTGTAAAACACAATATTTGCGATATAAATAAAACTTATCTATTAATATTGATATTTTTTTTTGAAAAATGCATAGAAAAACCAACAATTTAAAAAAAAATCTCACAATTTTCAAAAAAATGTATTAATTTTTTTGAAAATTGTGATTCTTTTTTTTTTTTGTTCGTTTTTTTATGTACTTTTCAAAAAAATCAAAAAAAGATAAACTATAAATTTTATCCAAAAACATGAGCCAAAATTTTTTTCAACTTTTGAAGGCAAAAAGCTATCGAAATCTTTATTTTTTTCTTTCACGACATTTTTTATCATAAATGCGCCGTAAAAACAAGTAGAATAAAAAAAAATTTGAAAATGATAATTTTTCGTCAAAATATAGCCAAAAATAAGGTTGACCCCACTTGTAAATAATTACTTTTTTTTTTTTATAATTATTGTTTTTTTTTTTATTAAAAAAAAATTTTCAATTTAAAAAAAAATAGAAAAGCAACAATTATAGAAAAAAAATATGGTAAATAGTTATAAGTGAGTTAAACCATTTTAATTTTCATTTTTATCAACGAAATTTCTTTTTGATTTTATTGATAATTTTTTTTTTTTTTAAATACATAAAAAAGTGAGCAATTTAAAAAAAAAAAAAAGTTGATTGAAAAATGGGATTAACCCGAATTGTAAATAATTACCAAAAAAAAATTACCTTTAGTTTTAAGTTTTTTTTCTGGTGACTCGTACACTGCGACAGATTCATCACCTTCAACTGGAACCCCATTAGAAAACCCAGCTGTACCCGGCGCATACACAACTTTCTTCGCCGCTTTACCTTGACTTTTCCCAGACTTCTGCGACGAAGAACTTCCTTGACTGTCAACAAGTATATTAGATTTCTTCTTTCTAGAGGACAACTTAGCGAAGTAAGCCTCTTGCGTATCAGGACCTGAATCCACCTGGGATTCACTGCTTTTTTTATTCACCAAATTAATTTTATTTTCTTGACTACCGGGTTTCTGAAAATTATTAACACTATGTAATTTCTCAGGTACATCATCTAATATTTCCTTAAGCTGCTGAGTTTGAAGTGGAATCGCGTCCTCAAATTCATCATCATTACTACCACCGAACATAGCGTCTAAATTCCTAACTAAACTGTCATTGTGTAAATCACTACTATTTACTTTATCATTATTTTCAAATTCTTTTTTTTTATTTATTGATTTTTTTTCATCCGAATTTAAATTATCCCCTTGCAATTTATCAAGATCAACTGTACAATTTTTCACAGCGGTAAATTTTATTTTTCTCTTTCCTGAAGAAAGAGGAGTTGAAGATGCTCTGCGTGAAATTCTATCATTCTTTACAAGAGATTTTTCATCCAAATTATCATGTTTTAATTCACATTTTTTTTTTGGCCCTTCAAAATTTATAATTTGCGTCGGTGCATTTTCTAAATCAACAGAATCAATACTATCATCATTATTTTTATTTTTGCTCTCTTTAACTGTCTGAGAAATTTTATTATTTTTATTAAGTGATAAAAAAATTGCCTGCGAATCTATAAGTTGAGTTGGCTCTAGATCATCTCGTTGTGTTTCTAAAAGCTTCTGAGTCTCCTCAATACCAATATTAAGTTTTTGAGTTTCTAAATTTAATAATTGAGTTGGCGCATCATTAAGATCTTGATCACAAGTTTTTAATTTATTAACTTCATTTTTATTAATTAATCCTTGATTTTTTTTATCATCTACTTCTCTACGAAGTGACTCTAATTCTTCATCATCAGTTTCATCATCATCATCATCATCATTATCATCCTTAAAATTATTTACTGGATTTACTAATTGAGTCGGTGCAAATTCATCACAAACTTCATGATCATTATTAATTTTTTTACATGCATTAGTATTAGTATTTAAGGGAATAATTTGAGTCAGCGCATCAGGGTCGCATTCTAATTCATTATTTCTTGGAGAAACTCCAGCAGCCGGCTCAACTGATACTAAAGGCGCAGTATCATATCGCTCTAGACCAGGCTGTTCAATTTTTGACGCTAATTTTCTGTGAGGTGACACTACCTGGTTAGGTGTCATATAAACCTCATCATCATCAGTTTCATCATCATCATCATTATAATTTTGCTCAGAACCAGGGTGTTGAATTTTAGAAAAATCAACAAGCACTGGACTTGGACATGCATTACTTTCTGCTTCACTATCAACTCTATTTAAAAATTTATTTTTATCAACATTTATAACACCAGACTCTGGTATATCAGACTCCGGAATTTCATCATGCGTTTCGGAGTCACTATCATTATTTATATTACTTTGTTTCTTATCTTGTATCCGAGCAAACTCTTCATCGTCAGTGTCTGAATCGTTAACAACTGTATTATTTTTAGATGTTTTTTTATCATCAATTTTTGACCTATCTTTAATCTCATTATGTTGATTAATTATCGCTTCTTCATCATCCGTCTCAGACTCGTCGTCTGTTTCAGCGATTATATGATTGTGTGTATTGATACTGGCCGATGTTGGTCCTATCGTTGTCCTATCATTGTCCGTAGATTTTTTGGAGGTATTAGTGATTCCAGAACTACTTTGATGAACCGAAGAGCTTTGTTTTGACTGTATCTCGTTATTATCTACCAACTCGTCGTTCTTTTCGAAGTCATCGACTACTGTACTTACATGCTTTTGCTTTCTATCAGCCGCTTCGTAATTTCTTCGTGGAGCTGGAGGTACCGCTTTGTTGACGTTGGGACTTTTAGTTGGAACTCGATTCTGTAGAAAATAAAAAATGAATTATTTTAGGTATAATTATCTATATTATTAAGAGAATAAAAAAAATTGTGTGTCCAGAATAGTCACATAAAATCGGTTTTTTTAGAGAAATTTAGTCGACCCATAATTAAGAAATGACCTTGTGTCTTGTAAACTATTGACATTTTTAAAGATATAAGCTCATCCTGATGTTACACTCATCAAGAGCTTTTATTTGAGAACCCACATCAATTTTTCATATATTTATATATATTATATATATGATATATCAAAAATATATCAAAATGCATGTGGGTACTCAAATGAAAGCTCTTGATGAGTGCAACATCAGGATGAGCATATATCTTTAAAAACCTCAATATTTAATAAAGTACACTGCAATTTTACATAAGAAACGACCTTGTATCTTGTGAACTATTGACATTTTTAAAGATATAAGCTCATCCCGATGTTACACTTATCAAGACATTTCATTTGAGTACCCACATGCATTTTCATATATTTTTCATATATTCATATATATATATATATATATATATATAAATATATAAAATATATGAAAAATTGATGTGGGTACTCAAATGAAAGCTCTTGATGAGTGTAAACTCAGGATGAGCTTATATCTTTAAAAATGTCAATAGTTAAGAAAGTACAGTGCAATTTACCATAATTAAGAAATGACCTTGTATCTTCTGAACTATTGACATTTTTAAAGATATAAGCTCACCCTCTGAGCTTATATTTTTAAAAACCTAAATATTTAAGAAAGTACAGTGCAATTTTACGAAAGTCATTATTTAATAAAGCAAAATTTTATTTTTTTTATAATTCTAGTTGCTAGTGTTAATCAATAAGTTAGTAAATTATGTTTTTAAAAAAATTTACCTTCTTAAATTTACTTTTAGTAATTTCAAACTGTTTATTTATACGCTGAGTTTCACAGTCATAAATATCATCGTCTTCCGCAATTTGTTGCGTAGCTACATCATACAAACTTGAAGCTTCATCTTTTACACTTATTTTTTGTGTTTCTAACTCATGAATGCCTCGGTTGTCTGTCGTACTTATCTGCTGTGTGCTCATGGCATAAATATCAGACTCGGCATCCGCTTCTTCAGGTAATCTCTGGGTTGCCAAGTCAAAAACTTCATTTTTAACAGCATTTTCTTCCAACTGCTGGGTTTCTGCATCGTAAATAGATTTTTTTTTATTAGAACTATTTACTTGTTGCGTTTCACAGTCGAAAATAGATGGATCATTATTTTCCTCTGATTGTCGCTGTGTTTCCACATCGTAAATTGATTTTTTTTTATTAGAATTATCAACTTGTTGCGTTTCACGGTCAAAAATAGACGGATCATTATTTTCCTCTGATTGTCGCTGAGTTTCAATATCGTGAATGCTGGCATTTAATTTTCTTCGAGCATTAGCACGAGCATCTCGAGTACTGGGACTACGAATTGGTAATGAGGTAGGCTTTGCAAATACGGCCTCATCTTTGGTCTCTTGAGTCCCGAGAACAACGGAATCATCGCTGTCGGTGACTGATGATCTGTTACCATCATAACGTAATTTTAAACCAGGTGCTGGTGTTTCCGGAACAATTATTGAATCGTTGCTGTCTCTGATCAGTAGAAACTGGGCATTAATTATGCCAAAAGTAAGTTTTGAACCGTCAACAATTTGGTAAAAACGATCCGGTCGCAAAGATTCCTAAAATATTTAAAAAAATTAAAATTATTTTTTATAATCTAAACTTAAACTTACTAAAAATATCAGTAATTAATAAATGACCTAGTATTTTGAGAACTATTGACTTTTTTAAAGATATAAATTCACCCCGATATTATACTCATCGAGACCTTTCATTTGAGTACCTACATCAATTTTTCATATATTTATATATATTATATATATGTATATATAAAAAATATATGAAAATGCATGTGGGTACTCAAATGAAAGGTCTTGATGAGTGTAACATCGGGATGAGCTTATATCTTTACAAAAGTCAATAGTTAAGAAAGTACAGTGCAATTTAACATAATTAAGAAACGACCTTGTATCTTGTGAACCATTGACATTTTTAAAGATATAAGTTCACCCCGACATTATACTTATCGAGACCTTTCATTTGAGTACCCACATCAATTTTTCATATATTTATATATATTATATATATGTATATATGAAAAATATATGAAAATGCATGTGGGTACTCAAATGAAAGCTCTTGATGAGTGTAACATCGGGATGGGCTTATATAATATATTATTTAAAAACGTCAATATTTAAGAAAGTACAGTGCAATTTAACATGTCATTGTTTAATGAAGCAAAATTTCAATTATTTATAATTCAAAAGTCACGGTAGTCACATAGTGACTGCAAAATTGCTTATAAATTTAAATATTTACTTACATTTTCAATCCGTGTTTTATTTGATGATCTCAAATCACAAATATAATAACAATTACTTTTTATTTCAATTTCCGCATGGTATTTTGAAACAGACTGAAAAATAAAAAAAATAATTTTATAAAATTTTACAGTAAATATTAATTAATACTGGTGTTTATGTAATAATTGATAATTAAATAATCAGTCAAGCTAAAGAATAATGATAAATTTGTTAAAATTGTTGTAAAAATAAATCTTAAGTATAATTTAATAATTATTGATTTAAATAATCAAAGGTTAAAAAATAATGATAAATTGTTATAAAAAATATGTTTACAAGTAAAATAATGGGACTCGCGTTGATAAAATAATATATATTTAAAAAAAAATATAATGCATCAAGAAGTAATTTTTTATAAAGTACTATCATATTTTATCAACCTGATAAAATATGAAAATGGCAAAAGCTATCAAAAATATTATTATGTCATTAACAAAATTATGACTATAAATACTGCTAAAATAATTGACTAAGGCATAGACAGTCCTCAAGCTGTTGAAGAATGAAGACTGCAATCATTCTGTGCTTGGTGCCGCTGGCGTTGGCGACTCTGGACATCGAGAAGACTCCAGATGGTCCAAGATTTGAAACTCCGATGGGAGGAATCCGAGGTTTCTACGACTACTCAGAGCATGGACGTAAGTACATGGCTTTCGAAGGAATTCCTTACGCCAAGCCGCCAGTAGGAGATCTCCGATTCAGAGTGAGTATTTTTATATTTTCATACAATTACAATATGAAAAAAATTAAATTAAATATAAAATATTATTGTACAGCCACCACAAAAAATGAAATCATGGAGTGGAGACATGGTTGCCATAAAAACCGGGCCACCTTGCACACAGTACATTCACACACCAATCGACGCCAAGGAGAGAATCGTTGGATCAGAAGATTGTTTGTACTTGAACGTCTACAAGCCAGTAACTGAATCAACCAAAAAGATGCCAGTTATCGTTTGGATCCACGGTGGAGCTTTCCAATGGCACATGGAATCCAAAGACGGACAATTCACCAAGCCCCATTATCTTATGGACCGTGATGTTATTTTAGTGTCATTCAGCTACCGTGTTGGTCCTCTTGGTTCGTATTTATTTATTTATTAATTTATTCATTTATATATTTTTACGCCAATCGGCTTTATACACATTGGTAATACAAAATTTTGAGAGAAATTAATATAAAAAAATTATAACATAAGAAAAAGTATTGCAGCATTATGAATTACATGATTGCTTTCAATTTAGCTAAGAATGTTTTATAGGAACCATCAAAAAAATTGATATCTATTAATAAGAGCTGATATTCTGTTTCCTGGACTATTGATTACATAGTTTTTAGGTTTTTGTGAAAATAATTTTCCAGATGTAAAAGATACACTGAGAAAAAAAAATATTTTTATTAAGAAAATTTTCTTGATACAATAATTTATGTTCTTGAAAATTTTCAAGAATATATATTCTTAGCTCAAGAAATTGTTAAATTGATTGAAATAATTTTTACTTAATTTAAATAAAGGTATTCTTTTGTTTATCTAGTGTAGATAAAATCTATTAAATTTATCTTAAACTTCATTTAATTACATTCAATTTAAACTTCAATTTTTCTAGTTTTGATGATTTTTTTTAATTAATTCCGTGTTTTTGAAAATTTTCAAAAACTTTTCAATGGACGTATTTTGGCCTTTTTTCTTTAAATAATTTTTAAGCCGTAAAAGATGGCTTAAATCTATCAAATTTATGTTGAAATTCACATAATTATCTTTAATACTTTTTTCAATTTATTTCGTAGATGGGAGAATTAAAAAAAAAAAAATAATTTTTAGCTTTATCTTCAAATAACTCACATATTTCAATTCCTATTTTTTAAACAGTGTTTTTGTCAATATTCAAATAAGAAATCTACTTATCAAACAAAAACAAAAATTATTTTTATTTTTCTTCAGGTTTCATGAGCACTGGCGACGAACACATTTCTGGAAACATGGGTCTCAAGGATCAAAACATGGCCATTCGCTGGGTAAAAGAAAACATTGAAGGCTTCGGTGGAGACTCTGAAAATATTTCTCTCTTTGGATTGAGTGCCGGTGGAGTGAGTGTACACTACCATTACTTGTCACCTTTGAGCAGAGGCTTGTTCAAACGTAAGAAAATTATTTAATTGTACTGTACTATGCAATTTAATAAACTGAAGATCGGAAGAATGTGTATTAATAAATTTGGATGTGCAGGAGGATTGTCTTTCAGTGGAAATGCATTGAACTGCTGGGCTATCACCGAGGGAGCACCCGAGAAGGCCAAGAAAGTCGCTATGACTGTTGGATGCCCGACTACAAACACTGAAGAGATGGTCAAGTGTCTCAGAACTCGGCCATACCGTCAAATCGCACGTACAGACATGGACTTCATGCCTTTTGAATTTAACCCGATGACTCCTTTCGGTCCAGTTGTTGAAAAATCAACAGCTGAGTCACCATTCATCACCAAAATCCCCGCTGAAATCATCAGCAGCGGAGAAGCTTATGATGTTCCTTGGATCACTGGTGTTGTTCCTGAAGAAGGACTTTACCCTGGAGCTGGTTAGTCTTTGAATTTACTCATTAAAAACTTATAAATACTTTTCTAATTTTCAACACATCATTTATAACGAGAGCCAAAATTTTTGCCGTAATTTTAAAATAACTTATTTAATATTACGGGGGAAATATTTAAAATAATTATTATAAGTATTCGAAAGTGCTCTATCTCTAGACACATCATTAAAAAATGACCTTGTATCTTGAGAAATATTGACATTTTTAAAGATATAAGCTCACCTCGACATTACACTCATCGAGACCTTTCATTTAAGTACCCACATCAATTTTTCATATATTTATATATATATTATATATATATGTATATGAAAAATATATCAAAAATGCATGTAGGTACTCGAATAAAAGCTCTTGATGGGTGTAACATCAGGATGAGCTTATATCTTTAAAAACGTCATTAGTTAAGAAAGTACAGTGAAATTTAATATAATTAAGAAATGACCTAGTATCTTGTGAGCTATTGACATTTTTAAAGATATAAGCTCATCCCAACATTATAATTCTCGAGACCTTTCATTTAAGTACCCACATCAATTTTTCATATATTTATATATATTATATATATGTATATATGAAAAATATATCAAAAATGCATGTAGGTACTCGAATAAAAGCTCTTGATGGGTGTAACATCAGGATGAGCTTAGACACGTGAATAGTTAAGAAAGTACAGTGCAATTTAACGAATTTCACTTATTCATAGTTCACAAGTCACGGAGGTCACATAGTGACAAGGTTGCTAGTTCCAAAATTAAGACTCATAATGAAAGATTTAAATTTTGTGATAATTATGAATTTTACTTTTGCAATTACGGTGAAATTATTGATCCTAGGAAAAGAACATGGACATTTTTTCTGTAAAATTAAATTTTGAAGACCGAAAAAAAATCTCGGAGCAATTTATGACTTAAAAATAATGAATTTTCTAGATTTCTGTGCTGACCCAGTCTACTTGAAGGAATTAGACGCCAGATGGGACACCTTGGCTCCGTTCATCTTAGACTACAACTACACAGTCCCGGTGACCAAGCACGTAGAAGTTGGCCGTAAAATCAGACACCACTACATGGGTGACAAGCCAATTGACAAATCCACTGCCATGGACTTAGTCCACATGATCGGTGACCGTCTTTACGTCGTAGGAGGTGTTAAGGCTGCCAAGTTGATGGCTAAAGCTAACAAGAGCCCAGTTCGCTACTACTACTTCACCTACCACGGAGCCGACAGCTTGAGCTACTCTATGACCAGAACCCACGAAGATTGGGGTGAGAATTAAATTATTAATTTAACAATTTAATCCTAAAAGATTTACTTAATAATAAAGTGGCTTAATTTAAAAACAGGTGTTGCTCACGGTGACGACCCGTACTACATTGTTGGATCTCCATTCATGGACCCCACAACCACTCCCGAAGACCGTGCCATGCAGAGAGAGCTTCTGGACCTCTGGGTATCTTATGCCACCCATGGGTAATTTTTTTTTTAATTAATTAATACTTAAAAATAATTAATTTAAATTTTTAAAATTAATTAATAGTTAAAAATAATTAATTAAATTTTGTAAAATTAATTAATACTTAAAAATGTTAGATTAGAATAAGTGACATTAATTGTAATTGTAATTTATAATTGTGCAATTTAGAACTCCTGATGTTGGATTCGACTGGACTCCAGTTGACGCTGCTCATGAAAAATTGGTCTACCTTCATATCAAGGGACCAGGTCACAAAGAGATGGACAAAGATGGTAACTTTGGATCCTACAAACTATGGTCCAGCATTGACTTCTACGAAGACAAAGTTGACGGCAGAAAAATTGATTTCTAAATGAGAAATGCATTTTGACTCATGCATTTTGTTACATCTAACATGTCATAATTATATGGGATTTTTTGTAATCAAAGAATTAATAAAGAAAATTACTTAAGCATAATTACTCACCAAATCATTTATGCAAACATCACAACCTGGGTGCCGACCTATCTTGTTTATTCCTCTGAACAGCGGGTACTTTTTATTTCCAATACACAAATTAGCGACCTAAAAGAAAATTGTATAGAAATTAAATTAACAGATATTTAATAATTTAATGAAAATAAAGTGAGCCGACATCTAACAATTTTTATGATTGTTTTTTATTAAAAAATTATTACAAAAAATTTTTCATTTGTTAAAAATTTTAAAAACTTTAAGTGTAATTTTTTAAAAATATTTTTCAATTTTAATTTAATAAATTAAGCAAAATAAAAAAGTAAAAAATGTCGGCTAATTTTACCATCATAATTGAAATAATTTTTGTGGCAATTAAATTATATATAGTTATAAATAGAAAAATTTGTTCCAAAAATAATTTTTAAAAAATTGCATTTTTTATTTTTTTTAATTTTTACATGCCAATTTTTCTTCTTATTTTTTTTTTTGCCATAATTTATTTGTTAAAAAAAATTCTAAAAGTTATTTAATATCTGCTAAATTTATTTTCATAGTTTCTTAGAAATGAAATTTTAAAAAAATTATTTTCTGTTAAATAAAATTTAAAAATTATCGTGACTGCTAACTTTAATTAATAAAAAAAAAAAATGACATGAAAAATTTGTGATAATTAACGTAGCACATATTTAATAATTTAAAAAATTTTATAACAAATAAATTACAGCAAAAAAAAAATAAGAAAAAAAAGTTGACATTTAGAAATTTTAAAAAATAAAACATGCAATTTTTTTAAATAATGATTTGGAACAAATCTTTTTGTTAAATAAAATTAAAAATTGTTAAGTGACTGCTAACTTTAATGTCATGAAAAATTTGTAAAAATTAATAATGCAATTTTTTAAAATACTTTTTTGGAACAATTTTGTTAAGTGGACTTGGATAAAATTAAAAAATTGTCACTAAGTAGCATGAAAATTATAGGGGTAGTATATTGAGATATTTTTTTTTTAATTAAAATAAATATATTATACCTGGTGAACTCTTTTAGGAGTCAACTGCGAAGAATTTAATGATTGAGATGACAGGCTATCGTCATCCTCATCGTTCAACAATTGCGTGGCAGGTAAATCCATTTTATTGAATATTTATAATCTAAATAAAGCAAAGATAAAATATTTATTTCGTTAGAATTTTTTATAAATTTTATTAATTACATTAATAAGAAATTTTAAATACTTACAAAGTAAACAACGACGTATTTAACCTCCTTTCATTTAACAATGAAACAGCGGCGTTGTTTTCAGTTGTTTTGTTATGTTTGGCATGGACCGCTAAAATGGAGGTAAAATTCATTTTAAAATATCAGCACTCTTGCGGTGAAAAAAGTAACTACTTTGCAGCGCGCTTTTATTTAAAATTTTATTTTCAGAATTAAATTTAAAAATATGTTTGGATAATTATTAAAATAATAATAATAATTTATTTATTTAAAGTTTTATGATACTGAAATTAGCTGACAGCTGTCAATTTTTTTTTAGTTTTATAAAAAATTGATTACAATAAAAAAAATACTTTAAAAAATTTCCACTAATTATTTTCTTTTACTTTATTAAATTTTTTGTTATTTATTATTTATTTAATTAATTAATTTTATTATACAATTTTATTTTTTATCAAATAAAGTCTTAATGATAGACAGTTGTCATCCTTTATACATATTAACATGATAAGAGAGGTCATGCAAGCTGTCAGTTACAAAGTAAGTAGAAAAAAAAAATAAAGAAATTAAAGACCGTCACCCTTGCTGATAATTAATGTGAAATTAATGAAGAAAGTTAGTCGTATTAATAGCTTTGAATAAATTTTAACAATTACAAAGAATTTTTGGTAAGAATTACAAGTAGTCAGCTGTTTATTTTTGGTGAAAATGAAGATTACTATTTTATTGTGTTTGGTCTCTGTTGGAGTTGCAATTTTGGATATTGATAAAACATTAGATGGTCCACGTTTTGAAACTTCACTAGGAGGAATCCGGGGATTTTATGATTACTCACAAAATGGAAGGAAGTATTTAGCTTTTGAAGGAATTCCGTATGCTGAGCCGCCTGTTGGAGACCTGCGATTTAGAGTAAGTATAATAATTAATAATAATAAAAATAAATGATATTAAATTCAGCAGTTACTTGAAAATTTTTTTAATTTTATTTAACAAAAAAATTCGTTCTAGAAAATTATTTTTAAAAAATTACATTTTTAATTTTTTAAAATTTCTACCTGTTAATTTTTTTCTTATTTATTTTGCCATAATTTTTATGACATTAGTTAGCTGTCATTTGACCAATTTTTATTTTTATTTAACAATTAAATTAATTTTAATAAATTATTTTTTAAAAAATTGCAATTTTAATTTTTAAAAATTTTTACATGTCAATTTTTTTTTCTTATTTTTTTTGCCATATTTATTTATTGTTAAAAGTTCTAAAAATTATTAATTATATGCTAAATTAATTTTAATTAAAAATAATAAATAAAATGACAAATCTTGGTATTAATATTTAGCCTCCTCAAAAAATAAAATCATGGACCGGAGACGTAGTAGCTATCAAAACTGGCTCGCCATGTCTGCAATATATTCATGCGCCAGACCATGGAACTGAAAGAATAATTGGATCAGAAGATTGTTTGTATTTGAACATATACAAACCAATTATAGAAGCAACTAAAAAATTACCAGTTATTATTTGGATCCATGGCGGAGCTTTTCAGTGGCATATGGAGGCTAATGACGGGAAGTTTACAAGACCTGATTACCTGATGGACCGAGATGTTATCTTTGTTTCCTTCAGCTACCGTGTTGGTCCTCTTGGTTTGTATTTATTTTATGATACTAAAATTTCAACAATTTTTTATTTTTTTTTTTCATCAATTAAATTACAAGTTAAAAAATACTTAATCAATTATTATAAAAAATATATTTTTTACAAATTTGCAATTTTTTTAATTTTTACTTGAAGAATTTTTTAAGTTGTAAATTATATTATTATAAAAATAAAAAAATTCTTAGATGTCTATTAAATTCAGTATTATTAATCATCTTTTTCTAGGATTCTTGAGCACTGAAGACGATAATATTTCCGGAAACATGGGACTTAAAGATCAAAATATGGCAATTCGCTGGGTAAAAGAAAACATTGATGTTTTTGGTGGTGATCCTGAAAATATTTCAATTTTTGGATTGAGTGCCGGTGGAGTTAGTGTACATTTTCAATATTTGTCCCGTTTAAGTAAAGGTTTATTTAAACGTAAGTAATTTAATATTAGCTTGTATAATTAATTATAATTAAAGAAATTAATTAATATCACCTTAATAATCCAGGAGGAATAAGTTTCAGTGGAACTGCTCTAAATTGCTGGGCAATCACCGAAGGATCTGGTGAAAAAGCTAAAAAAGTAGCTGCAATTGTAGGTTGTCCTGATTCTAGCACTGAACAGATGGTAAAATGTCTAAAAAGTCGACCTGCTCGTCAAATAGCCAGCACTGTTATGCATTTCATGCCTTGGTTGTACAATCCGATGACTCCTTTTGGTCCTGTAATTGAAAAATCAACAGCTGAGTCACCTTTCATCACTAAATCACCAGTAGAAATAATCAACAGCGGTGAAGCTTATGACGCGCCTTGGATCACTGGTGTCGTTCCGGAGGAAGGAATTTATCCTGGAGGAGGTAACCCTGGTTAAAAACGAGAATTAAAAATTGAATGCATCCTTTTTAATTTTCCTTAGAGAATTAAATTGAATTAAAAAGAATTCAGGATTACAAGTTTTTTTATTCTATTTAATTCTCCATAGAGAATTAAGTAGTATCAAAGAGCATTGAAAATAAAAGACTTTCAATACTTTCAAGTTCTCTGAAGAGAATAAAATAAAATAAAATTGGAAAGAATTCATATTAAGAAATTGTCAATACTTTTTAATTTTTTGCGGAGAATAAAATAGTATTGGAAAGAATTCGTATTTGGAAATTTTTAATATTTTTGAAATCTCCGCAGAGAATTAAATAGTATTTGAAAGAATTCGTATCTGAAAATTTATAATATTTTCACGGAAAAAAGTAAACTGTAATATTCACTCGGATTCCGGTTAATTTTTATAATTTCAAACAGTAAAGCGGACATCGGGGTGGCAAAAATATAAATATTACAGAACTTAATGTAGAAAGTATAAAAGCCACAATTTATAATTTAATATTCAAAATAAGTGATTAGTAGCTGTCACTACAGTAAATAACGACTCGTTCATCTTAAAAAATTACAGTTTCAAACAGTAAAAATTGCCATTTCAATATATAGTCCATATTATGAGGAGAAGGGGAACTCAGATGAAAGAGAAGAGGGTCTCACTCTGGGAGAATTTAACATTTGAAACAGTAAAAATTATACTTTTAAAATATACATTTTATCAGTCCAAGTAAGTCAATAATTACAGTTTGATTTTTAGCGTTGCGTTTAAAATTTACCATTTTACTTTGTAAATATTGACGTTGCTTGTATTAGAAATTTACTAACTTTATTTTATACTTTTTACATATCATAAGATCATTTTTTAGGTACGAAATGATAAATATTAAAGTCTGAATTCTTAATTATTATACTTTAACATTTTAGACATTTACACAGCGAATATTACTGTTTGAAATAGTATTTTCTTCCATGTAAAGAGTAAATTTTAACGTTTAAATGGTAAATATTATAAAGTGAATAGTAAAATCACGATTTTACTGTTTGAAATGGTAATTTTTAGCAGTTGATCATTTTATTATAAATCGACTGTTATTTATTATACAGTTTATTTTTTTCCGTGTTGGAATTCTCCGCAGAGAATTAAAAAGAATTCACCATTACAAGCTTTTTATTCTATTTAATCCCACATGAAGAACTGAACTTTACTCAAACTTGCTGTTAATTATTAAAATTTTATTTATACTATACAGAATTTTGTGCGAATGAAGAATTATTGAGAGAACTAGACGCAAGATGGGATACTTTAGCGCCTTTTATTCTTGATTACAATTACACTATTCCTCTTTCTAAGCACATCGAAGTAGGTAGAAAAATCAGACACCATTACATTGGCCACGAGTCAATTGATCGTACCACAGCGTTGCTAATTATTCATATGATCGGTGACCGTCTCTACACGGCAGACGGAGTAAAAGCTGCAAAAATGATGGCTAATATTAATAAAAGCCCGGTGTATTATTATTATTTTACTTACAAAGGCGCAGAAAGTGTTTCTCATGCCATGACTAAGACAAAAAAAGACTGGGGTAGGAATTATTGATTAATTCACACACACTTTAAGATAAATTTTTATCAAAAAAAACTTTCAGGGGTAGCCCATGGGGATGATCTTTATTATATAATTGAATCTCCAGCTAAAAATCCAACTACTACTCCAAAAGATCGCATGATGCAGCGAGAGCTTTTAGACTTTTGGATTTCTTTTGCTACAAATGGGTAAGAATTTTTAATTTGATTAATAAAAAATTTATTTAATTTATATGATTGTGTGATTATTGTTTAGTACTGCTGACGTTGGAGTGGAATGGAAACCTGTTAATGGAAATACGGATCTATTTAATTATCTTCATATATACGGACCGAATAAAAGAGAAATGAATACTGATAATGATTTGGCAGAAATCAATCTCTGGTGGTCTAGTATTGATTTTGATGAAAATAAAATATAATTTTAAAAACATTTTTTTTTATAGTAAAAACTTTTATAATTCTAAATTTATTTTTAAACTGATTTATTAATTTTATTTATTGAAATTGTGAATAATTTTTATATAATGAAGTTATTTTTTAAATTAATATGAACTATAATAATATTGATTGTAGTAAAAAAAAATAAATAATTTGAAATCATTTATAAAGGCTTAAGAAGTTTCGTTTTTTTTAGAAAATAAACTCCGCTTTGCAGTACCCTAAAAAAATGATTATTATATGATTGTATTAAAAATTAAATATTAAAGTTTATATTTTTTATATATTTACCGGCGATGGAGTTACTTTCAAAGATTGTTCTGGAGATGACGGTGGAGTTTGTGAAATTCGAAGCGCTTTTAATAATCCATCAACCTTGTCATGGGTTTCTTTTTTCTAAAAAAGTAAATAACTAATTAAATAATAATTTCATATTTTTCTTGTTCATAATTTAGAGTAGAATTAATATTTAAGTTCTCGTTCATATTTAAAATATTTTAAATAACTTAATCTTGGGAATTTGGAAAATAAATAAAAATTATAAGAATTTTAACTTTTCGCTAATTTATTTCAGCTTCATCAGGCGAATTAAGATAATTTAACATCTTCATTCATTGTCCAAATTCCAAAGATTAAGTTATTTAATTTTTATAAAATTGATAACAGCCTTGATATCTATCAGATAAACATTGTTGATTGTTTCTCGCAACTATGTTTACTAAATAGAGACTGAATAAAATTAAAAACTACTAGGATTGAATACAAAAAAAAAAATAAATAACGTTCAATAAAGAAAGAGAAGAATAATTCTTCTCAATTATTATTATAATTATTATTGTACTTCAGTACTTTTCAGTCAGTATTGTATAGACAAAACGACTGCAAGAGTAAAATTTCTTAAAAATGGTCTTAAGATGGATATTTTTTGCTTTAGAAAAAAATGTGAGCACAAAAATTGAAGCTTAATTTCTCAGCTTTCAGATGCATTTAACAAGAATCGAAAAACTCGACGCGTTCAAAAGTTATTTGAAGGAGAAGTAGAGACAGAACCAAATTTTCGAAATTTCAAAATTTTTAAATGCTGTAATTTCTAAACTATTTGACCAATTAAGCTCATATTTGAACTTGACCTTCCTAATAGTCGATAGAATATAAGTATGTTGAGTTTCATTGAGATCCCTTAAAAATTGTTGACGCTATCGTCGTGACAAACCGCGTTATATCGTATATATATATATACATACATATATAAACTTTTGAACCATATAACTCAGTTCGTCGAGTTAGGTCGAAGTATAGCAAAATTTATGAAAAGCTACGTCATGAAGACAAATACAATAGTTAAATTTTTATGAAATCTACTAAAAATTAAGAGTATGTTAATTTTCATTAACCTTAATATCATCATCATCAGAATCAGATGACAGTAGAAAAGATGATGATTTTTTTCGAGATGATTGCGAAGAGATTCCAGGTATGGGTAATTGTTTTAAATTTGTACTGTTTTGTAGTTCCTGAAAACAAAATAAAATAAAAATCAAATCATGGATTAACACATTTGACATAAATTATACCTTGGTCGATTCAGCTGATGATTGAGAAGAAAATATTGGTTTCTCAGGTGTTTGAACTTTAAGTTCAAGATTCGATAGACTTTTTGATAATTTACCATCAATACCATACATTTCTTCTAACTGCTTGCATTCATTTTCCAATTCTTTTATTTTAACTTCCAATTGATGTTTTTGTTCCATCAATTGCTTCTCAGATTCATTTTTTTTACTCAAAATTTCTTCTGCTTTTTTTAATTTACTCTCCAAATTTTTTTTATCCTTCTCGATTTGCGCCTCAAGACTAGTAAAATCATCCTGACGACTAAGTATAGAATTTTGAGTCTCAGATAATTCAGCAGCAAGTTTATTATTCAAGGCCATTTGTTTCTCCAAGTTAGCAACACCTGCATTGTACCGATCATCTAGTTCTTTCAAAGATTTTTCATAATCTCTCTCCATTTTTTGCTTATCAACTTTCAATTCTTCATTTTCAATCAGTGCCTTCTCTTTACGTTCTATCTGGATGTCCAATTTTTTTTGAAACTCTACCACTTTAGATTCTTCAATTAACTGAAATTCCTTCAAATCTTTATTAGTATTTGTTTTAGATTGTTCTACTTCAATTAACTGAGCTTTTTTTTCTTCCAACTTCTGTTTAAGTCCATCGTTTTCTTCCTTCTTTTTTTCCATCGCTTCCTTTAAACTGTTCACTTGATCAGCCAAATTATTTCTTTCAAGAGTCTCCGAAGCTATTTTGTCTTTTATTAATGAGAGATCATGTGTTTTTTCATCTATTTTCTTTTTGGTGTTCAAATTTTCTTCATTAACCTGCTTCAACTTCAAATTAGCCTCATCAGTTTGGCTTTTGATCTGATTTACCTGCGACCTAATTATATAAAACAATTATCTATATTATTAAGAGAATAAGCGATTTTCACCGATAGTCAATTTATTATGATGAGTATTAAGGCTAAATTTGAAAATGCTCTATCTTTAGATATATAATTAAGAAATGACCTTGTATTTTGTAAACTATTGATATTTTTAAAGATATAAGCTCATCCTGACATTACACTCATCAAGACCTTTCATTTGAGTACTCACATCAATGTTTCATATATTTATATATATTATATATATGTATACATGAAAAATATATCAAAAATACATGTGGGTACTCAAATGAAAGCTCTTGATGAGCGTAACATCGGGATGAGCTTATATCTTTAAAAAGGTCAATATTGAAGAAAGTACAGTGCAATTCTTTATAATCAAGAAACTACCTTGTATCTTGCGAATTGTTGACATTTTTAAAGATATAAGCTCATTCTAACATCACACTCATCAAGACCTTTCATTTGAGTACCCACATCCATTTTTCATATATTTATATATATTATATATATGTATATATGAAAAATATATCAAAAATACATGTGGGTACTCAAATGAAAGCTCTTGATGAGTGTAACATCGGGATGAGCTTATATTTTAAAAAACGCCAATACCAAAAAACGCCTAGTATATTGATAAATAACATCATTTTAAAAAATTGGGACTAGTCTATTAAAAAAAAATTACTTACGAAGTTTCTTCAACATTTTTATCCAAATCTTCACATAGTTTTTCTTGTTCTTCATATTTTTTAAGATCTTCTTCATATTCTTCTCGGACACTATTTAATAGTGACTTTGCCTTGTTCAATTCTCCTTCAGCCAAAGATAATTTTTCCGCAAAGTACTGTTTCGTCTAAAAAAAAAAAAAATTTTTTATTAAAAAATAAACTTACAATTTTGTAATTCTTACCTCTTTAATTTTATCAGTATCAGGAAAATTATTCATCATATCCATCCTTTTTTTTTCTTGTTCATTCAATGAGTGTTTTAACTCTTCCACTCTATTTTTCAATTCATCTTCAATAATTTTCTGATTTGCAGTAAATTGCTTACTCATCGCTAATTTTTCCTTTGCTTTATTAGTTTCTATTTTTAATTTTATCAGCTTATCTTCTGATGCTGCATTTTTAGTTTTCATCTTAGCAATTTCTAACTGTATTTTTTTTACCTCTTCGTTATATTTTTCATCTATTTAAATAAAATAAATATCTTAAGTTAAATAAACTCTAATTAATTCCATTAAAATATTACCTTCACTCTGGAAAAATTGATTTAATTCATCAAATTTTTTTGATAAATTTTCTTTATCATTCAATAATTTTACAATTTCATTCTCGTACATATCTTCTAGATTTTTTGCTGACTCTTTATTGCAAATCAACGTATCATTCATATAATTAATATGCTGATTAAATGATGCTGTTAATTGTAATGCTGACGCAGATCTAATAAAGAAAAAAAATGTATAATTATCTTTTTTTATATTAATTTAATCCTAATGACAATTTTATAAAAATAAAATATTTAATTTATAATATAAATTACTTGTTTCTTAGAGTTTTATTCAAAGTTGTTTCTTTCTCTAAAGCTGTTTTGAGTTCAGCAAATTCTTTTTTAGACGCTGTCATTTTTCTGTGAAGAGAAGTGTAGACTTTGTAAATATGTTTCAACTTTTGTTGACCTTCTTGATAGCGTAAAAAATCCTGGGCCTGAAAAAAATACCTGTCAAGCTATTTTCTAACCAATGGAATACCAATACCAAATAATATATGTGATACTTTACGTCATTAGACAGCAAATTATTTGTATTCGATGATGATAAGTTCCAAATAGTATCAATAGTATCAATTGGTTGACTACTCTTTCTCATTTCAGCATAAGAAGCAACGGTATCTTGTGATGTTGTACAACGCACTCTTTCTGGAGGTTGTTTGGTTACCTCTGAAGTTTTATCACACTTATTTGATTCTTGATCCATTGTTCTAATCTATTTTCAACACAAAAAATTATGATATTGAAGGTAGCGGTCACTTTACTATTTTTTTTAACAAAAACTTTTTTTTTTAAATTTAGATTAAAAATTTTTTTAATTTTTATGTCAATTTTTTTATGAAAATTAATTTAGCATATTTAATAATTTTTGTAAAAAATAAATTATGACAAAAAAAATTGACATGTAGAAATTTAAAAAAATAAAAAATGAAATTTTTTAAAAAAATTAATTAAAATTGAGAAATTATTGATTGTTAATTTTAATGTCATATTTTCTTTATAATTTTTTTTTTGCCATAATTAATTAGTTAAAAATATTCTTAAAATTATAAAATATCTGCTAAATTAATTTTGATAAAAAAATTCTGAAATTCATTTTATTATTATGAGAATTAAGTTAGCCGACATTTAAAAATTTTTAGAATTTTTTTATTAAAAAAAATGTTAGAAAAAAAATTTTTAAAAAAATGTCACTTGTAAAAAACTTGAAAAACTACAAGTGCAATTTTGTAAAAATATTTTTTAGTTTTAATTTAATAAATGAATAAAAATTAAAAAATTAAAAACGTCGGCTAACTTTAATATTGCTTTATTATTTTAAATCAATAAAGAATCAAAATTATTGATTATTATTTAAAGTAAATAATTACCTTGCAAATTTACGCTCGAGTGTTGTTTACTGACTGGAATCTTTGTATGGAATGAAAGGGTTAACCGTTTAGTTTTAAATCTAACCAATAAAAAACGTTTAATTGTTTCTTTTCACATTTTTTAATTTAATTGGTTCTTTTTCAAAAAGCGCGAAATTTGAATTTAAAAAAATTTATTTTACACGTTTCATTAACGTATAAATAAATAAATAATTAATTATTTATTATTATTATTTATTGTACCTTTGACAATTTTTTGATAGTAAAATAAAATGATAAAGAAGAAATAATAAGGTAGTTAGATTAATTATATATCTTCATTTTAATGAAACAATTTTTGTTTTATTTATTTCTTCCTATTATAATTCAACAAAAATAATTTACTGTAAATAGTAAAAAATTTTTTAGTTAACAAAATATCAAATTAATTAAATCAATAATGTCCTTGTATAAAGACACAAACAATGGGTTTTATATTGACTTATAAATGTATTCATAAAGATCTTCATAAATGAATAATTAAAAATTTATAAAGGTCTTTCAAAGTTTATAAAGTACCGAAATCAACATAATACATTCAATGTCTTATTGCTGGTGATAGTGGACTGCTAAACTATATAATACGAACAAAGAAGAAATGATTAAAAATTTGATAAAAATTTTTTTAATTGCCTTACTTTGCACAGTGACAGCATCGCCGATTACAAATGAAGATCCTGAAGTAGTGAATCACTCAAATGAAGTAGAAGTTGATGGTCATAAAGAAGAATATCGTCTGCCTCATGAGACAGAACCTCGACTGTATGTTCTGGAGTTTGATCCGGATTTTGAAGGTGAAAAATTTACTTTTAAAGGAAACGGCACCATTTTATTCGAAGTACTTCAGCCGACCACTTCCGTAACTCTGCACAGGTCAAATAAAATAGTGATAGATCCAGATTCTGTAGCGATTGTCGACGAAAAAGGAATTTTTTATCATCCAGTTAAACAAGACTGGAATTCAGAGAATGATTTTTATACAATTAAGTTTGAGAAGAAATTAGAACCTGGAAATTATACTCTGAAAATTAACTGGGTCAGTGATGATTATGAAAATGATTGGTTTTCTACTGACTACGGTTTTTTTCGGGCACAAGAACAACTTACAAATGAAAATTCTAGGTAAGAATAATTTAATTAAAATTTTTATAAAATAATTATTTATAAATTTACAATATTATTAATGATATTTATAATTTTAACTAGAAATTATTGAATAATTATTTCTGGACAAAAAAATTTTTTTTTTCTCAGTGTAAAATTTTATTTTATAATGTATACTTTAAAAAAAGGCCAATTCGGCAGCCGAAATTAAAGTAGATTTTATAATGAATAGAAAAAAAAACTACTAGGAATGTATACAAAAAAAAAAAAAAGTGCCATTCGGTAGCCAAAATGGAAGTAGATTTCATTATGAATAAAAACGAGTGCAACAGCAAATTTCATATTTGGCATAGGGGAATAGGACTTAATATCAAGACTACACATATGTTATGATACCCAAATTAAAGCTTATTTAAAGAGCTTTCAGATGCAATTTACAGAGATTCAATAAGTTATCCCATTCCAAAGTTATTCGAGTTAGAAAGTGAAGAAATATGAATTTTTATAATTTTGAAAATTTTCAAATCCTGGCATTTCTAAATAGTTTTGAGACTACAGATGTGATGTGGTAATTAAATTAAAGCTTATTTAAAGAGCTTTAAGATGCGATTTACAGAAATTCAATAAGTTATCCCATTCCAAAGTTATTTGAGTTAGAAAGTGAAGAAATATGAATTTTTATGATTTTGAAAATTTCCAAATCCTGGCATTTCTAAATTACTTGACCGATTGAACTCATCTTCGAACTTGACCTCGGTATCTATCTGTAGAATAAGTATGTAAAGTTTGGTAAAGATCCATTGTAAATTGGCGACGCTATCGTGGTGACAAGCCGCGTTATATCGTATATATAGATATATTAGGGTGTGCCAAAGTGTATCTTCCTTGATGGACCTTTTAAATTGGAATTTTGAGTTCCGCTTTTAACAGGAGTTGTGTTTGGGCATTTCCTGTCATATTTTGAGCATAAAGGATTTATTTGATTTTTATAGAATTTTTTAACAGGAGTTTTGTTCGGCTAAATTTTAAAATTTTCAAATTCCAGCAAAAATGGCTGAACGAAACTCCTGATACATACATATACAATAGGGTGGCGCAAAAAAACCGACTATTTTTTTTTTTTGAGTTTCGATTGAAAAAATGTTAGTTTTTGATGTTTTAAGAGCCCTCACCAAAGGACAGCTCAAAAAAAATTTTTAAGATGTCACTCCAAATTTTTCAAAATTTCAAAAATCGTCAAAAATCAAATTTTTTTTTTTTAATTTTTTTTTCTCGTTACGGTATAATTTTATAGACTAAAAAAAAATAAGTTTCTGAAAATTTCAGTTCAAAATTCGAATTTCGAAAGGTCGCTTATAATTTTTTTCAATTTATTAGTGCATTAGTTTAGATTCTTTCGAGCGACCTTTTACTATTCAGACTAAAAAAAAAAAATAGTCGGTTTTTTTGTGCCACCCTAATATATAAACTTTCGAACCATATGTATTTTCTGACTCAGCTCGTCGAGTTAAGTCGGAATATAGTAAAATATTTCAAAAGTTTCGTCATAAGGACCATTGCAATAGTTAGATTTCTATGAAATCTACTAAAATATTATCTACTAAAATAACTAAATAATTAAATTCTTCTATTAAACATGTCTCAGTGCATTACCAAAATTTTCGTGGCCTTAAGTCAAAACTTGGAACAGTATCTAGTAACACAATGTCTATTGAGTATTATGTTTATGTTATAAATTAAATTTAGTTTAATTTAATTATTTTTTACACTGAAATTTTTGATAATAATTTGTAACATTGTTATACTGATCTTTGTTATGAACATATTTTCTTTTTTTGTTCTTCTTTCAGTGCACTACTTTAAGTACATTAAAGTATTATTGTTTTTTTTTTTTTTTTTTTACTTCCATTTTGTATTTTACAAATATGTAATATAATATTGTAAAAGGACGTTATATTTATATTTACAAATTTATACTCTAGTGACCCTGTTATTGGCAATTGCTGTTGGGTCTTTATGTAAAGAAATAAATAAATAAAAAAAGAAAAAAACCAGTGCAACAGCAAATTTCATAATTGGCATAGCAGAATAAATAAATAAATAAATAATTTTGAGACTACAGATATAATATGGTACTCAAATTAAAGCCTATTTAAATAGCTTTCAAATGCAATTTACAGAGATTCGAAAAGTTATCCCATTCAAAAATTATTTCAGGTATTAGGAAAGTGAAGAAATATGAATTTTCGATATTTTCAAAGTTTGAAAATCTCATAATTTCAAAACTATTCAACCAATTAAGCTCAACTTTGAACTTGACCATTGTATTAGTCACTAGAATAAGTATGTTGAATTTGGTAGAGCTAATATAAATATATATCAAAATTTTTTAAAAGTTCCGTCATGAGAACTAATGCAATAGTTAGATTTCTATGAAATCTACTAAAAAATAACTTTATAGATGTATAATGCCGATTGAAGTTCATATAATTAAAGTAATAAATTTTTTAGCTACCTGATTGCAACTCTTTTCCAACCAATAAGCGCTCGTACTGCATTTCCGTGCTGGGATGAACCTGGCTTTAAAGCTCAGTTTGAAATTTCTGTAAAACACTCTCCGAATTACACAGCGCTGTCAAATATGCCTGAAAAAAATCACCAAGAGCTTGATGATGGCAGAGTCATGACTAACTTTGAAAGATCTGTAAAAATGTCGTCATACAATCTATGCATAGTTGTCGCCAATTGTACGTCTATTAAAAGTACCGAGAGAAATATATCTTTTTATGGATTTTACAATTTACATGACCTGGAATTTTCATTGAAAATCAGCGAGAGTGCTGTTAAAGTACTGGAAGCTTACACTGATATGCCATACTCGCTGCCGAAACTCGATCAATTGACTATTCCTCAGCTATTAGATATGCCTGCAATGGAAAACTGGGGGCTCATTACATACCCGTAAGGACTCTAAATTAAATTGCTTACAATTTATTTATTTATTGAATGTAAATTATTGTTTTACGCAGAACGATGTCCGTAAGGTTCAAAAATACAACTTTAATTCCGGACGTTGATCAACAGGATAATGTAGCATTCTTAGTGGCTCATGAAGTGTCGCATCAATGGTTTGGAAATCTTGTTACTTCTGCTTGGTGGGATGATCTTTGGTTGAGTGAAGCTTTTGCGACTTTTTTTCCGCATAAAATTATTGATCAGGTAAGATTGTATGATTTTTTTAATTTGATATAAAAGTATTGATTATTTTTTTATTTTTTACTACAGTTAAAATTCACTTGACCAGTTTTTAATTTTATTTAACAAATTTGTTCCAAAAAATTATGTATAATAAATTGAATTTTTAATTTTTATATTTCAATTTTTTCTTCTCATTTTTTTTGCCATAATTTATTTGTTACAAAAATTACAAAATATTCAGTTAAAATTCACTAGGTCATTTTTTAATTTTATTTAACAAATAAATTTCTTCCAAAAAATTATTTATAATAAATTGAATTTTTAATTTCTATTTCAATTTTTTCTTCTCATTTTTTTTTGCCATAATTTATTTGTTACAAAAATTATAAAATATCTGCTAAATTAATTTTTAATTTTTTTGATAAACAATGAAAATATAGTACTGAATTTTTTATAATTTATTTATTATTATTATAACAAAAAAAAAAATGAATTTTTGAAAGATTAAAAAAAAATTACTATCAGCATATTCTTCACATATTAAAAATTTTTATAATTTTTTAAACAAATAAATTATAACAAGAAAAATTTTATTAAAAAAATTTTATCTTTAAAAGTTCTAAAAATTATAAATGCAATTTTTTGAAAATAATTTGGTAATTATTTACAAGCTTGAAGATAATAAGAAAAAAATTTATTTAAGATTGTTTGCAGAAACAACAATTTTTTGAACTTTCAAAGTTGGTTTTTTGATTGAAATATCAATTTTTTTAATTATTAATTTTTAAAAACAAAGAATTGAAAAAAAAATTATGATGATCCATCAATTCATCTATTTTTTGTGGCCAAAAATAGGGTGGACCCCGCACTTGTAAATAATTACCAATTATTTTCCAGGCCTAGTTTATTTTTAAAGAAACATAAAAAAATTTTCAAGAAAATAAATTTTTTGAACCTTTCTAAATCTTTGTTACAGTTAGAAGGAGGTAAACGCGCAATGGATACTTTTACAATCGAAAATATCAATGATGCAATGGATCAAGAGCTTCCTCCCCATCGTGCAAGTGCAATTAAAGTAGAACCTAAAGACAAACATGGTATTATTCAAATGTTTGGCTCAGCAACATACTACAAAGGTGCTGGAATTTTACAAATGCTTGAAAATGTTATCGGTGAAGATGTATTTCGTCATGGAATCCGTCGATATTTAAAAGCACAGTAACAAATTTAATTATCTATTATAATAAAAAAAAATTTTATTACTAAGTATTAATAATAATATTTTTTAGTAAATTTGGTGCTGTTACAAGTGATGATCTTTGGGCAGCTTTTCAAGAAGCTTATGATGAAGTTCATAAAGAAAATTCATTGAACATTAAAGACTTTATGGATCCTTGGATCCTGCAAAAAGGAACTCCGGTCTTAAATGTTGCTCGGAATTATGAAACAGGCGAAACAAATATTACTCAGACAAATTCTTGGGATGATTTAGATGCACAGTGGACAATTCCGATTAATTATGCGACTAAATCAAACCCTGATTTTTCTTCAACTCTTCCAACTTTGTGGATGAATAAAAATGAGACAACAATTACGCTGCCTTCTATTAATAAAGACGATTGGATTATTCTAAATATTCAGCAAAGAGGTGAGCAGATAAATTTTTTAATTTATTAACTTATTTATTTATTTATTAATAATTATTTATTTATTTATTTATTTATTAATCAACCTATCGGTAATATACATCAATAGAAAGTATTTAAAATTAAATAACATTAATTTATAAGAAAAATTAATTAGTAGGGTAAATGCACCAGTTGTTGACCGGTCACCAATTAGTTGACCGATGTATAAAAAAGTTAATTAATTATTTTACAAGGGTTTTTTTTTTCTCAAAGTATTAAAATAAAAATATATGGCATTTAATCATCATAATAAAAAATTTCGCAATTAATTGCGCAGTGATTATAGCTTTAAAAAGATATTTTGAGTTTGTTTACAACGCAACCAGCCATAAAGCGGTCAAAAATAACTACCGTACAATTGGAGAGTGAGTGCATTTCATCATTAATTGAGTGATATTTATCGGCATAATATAAAATATTTTAGTTTTATTATGTTAATTAAAGATCAGATTCCAACTTTTTTGAAAAAATAAAGTTAAATTATAAGTTTTAATATTATTTTAAGACCGGTCAACTATTGGATCCGTCAGAAGCCCTTTACCCAGTAAAAAATTCATTCGGTCATTTATTAGATCCTCTGATTTTATCACAATCCAATTAATCACCGTATATTTATAATACTAACTTCTTTACCTCAAAATTAAATCTGTCAAGTGTTTAAAGTACTTTAGTCATTCAATATTTTGTAAATATAAAAATAATCATTATAAAAAATGTATATTTACAATTAAAATAATACTTAAAATCTTTCTTGATTATTAAATTTTATTTTGTTCTAATTTTTTAGTGAACGGTTATATCAAAAAACGAATTATTAGAAGAAAAAATTGATAATCAATTAAAAAAATAAAAAAGAGTTACAAGCTAATAAAAAAGCTTTAATTGAAAAAAAGAAAGAGAAGAATAAAAAAATTTCAAGTGAATCAGAAGAATTATCATCATCAAAATGAATTTGTGATTATTAGTGACCTAAAGAAATGTGACTTTATGTTAATTATTGCTATAATTTATATTATTTTATAAAAAAGTACGATTCAAAATTATATTGTATGTTTAGTTTTGTTAAAGATGTCGTAAATACTTGAAAAGTACTGCATAAATTTAATTACATACAAGTAGTTTACAAAATTACTTATAATTATTTGAGCGGTCAATTAATTGGAGAACAGTCGGTCCATTATAAATTCTTTTTAGTAGGTTAATAGATTCTTTATAGCTTAGTACAGAAAAAGAAAACCTTAATCGGTCAATAATTGGTGCATTTACCCTACTTTGTCTTTGTAATTTAAAAATAAAAATTTATTTTGTAAAATTTTTTTTTAGCAATGTACCAAGGTAATTATGACGAAGAAAACTGGAATCGACTCGCTGACTATCTGATAAAAGATCACGAAAAAATTCATCCGGTGAATCGTGCTCAGCTCATAGCAACTGCTATCAGAAATGTTAAAAATAATCCTTCTTTTATTGACACGCTTTTTAAAATATCTCTTTACCTTAATCGAGAAAAAGAATTCTTACCTTGGGTGCCTTTAACTGAGATTTTGGCAAAAATTTCAGAAGAATATCTTAATACTAATAATGAAGATCTGTTTGAAGAATATATTCGTTTTCTTACTAATGCAATAGCTGAGACTAATTTTGAGGGAGAGACACTTGAATCTGCTCGGATTAGAAAAGTCTTCGCTCCGGTACTTTGTGGTGTGAAGAATAAAAATTGTCTGTCGTATGCTCAAAAAATTTTTGATCAATTCTTGCAGAATCCTTCTAAAAATGCGTAAGATTTAAATTTATATTAAAGTTAGCAGTTAATTAATAATTTTTTAATTTTATTTAACAAAAATTACTTTTTAAAAAATTGCGTTTTTTATTTTTTTTTAAATTCTACCTTTAAATTTTTTTAGCCATAATTTATTTGTCAAAAATATTATTAATGTTATCAAATATTTGTTAAATTAATTTTAATAAATTTATGACATTAAAGTTAGCAGTCACTTAATAATTTCTTAATTTTATTTAATAAAAATTGCATTTTTTAATTTTTTTAAATTTTACAGGCCAATTTTTTTTTTTAAATTTTTTTCCTATAATTTATTTGTCAAAAATATTATTAAAATTATTAAATTAATTTTAATAAATTTACGACAATAAAGTTAGCAGTCACATAATAATTTCTTAATTTTATTTAACAAATAAATTTGTTCCAAAAAATTATTTTTAATAAATTGCATTTTTAGTTTTTTAAAAATTCTACATGTCAAATTTTTTTTCCATAATTTCGTCTTTGTCAAAAATATTATTAAAGTTATCAAATATCTTCTTAATTAATTTTAATTAAAATTTTATCATAAAAATTAAATCTACTATACTTTTTTTATTATTTTTTAGTATAACACTTCTGTCAATGTTTACAGATTTCCAGAATATGGCTGGGATTGGGTAATATGTACAGGTCTTAAAGATGCCAATGATACTGTATGGGAAAAATTTACATCTGATGAAGCTCCAATAAAAAAGTCTATCCAAAAAATCAATTATAAATTAATAAAATGTACAAATGACAATGAAAAACGTGACAAATATCTTATGAAAATAATTCATTCAAATTCAACTTCAAGACCGTATTTTGTAAATAGAGTTATTCTAAGTTTTCTTGGCAGCAATCGCAATGATGTTAATTATATTATGCAATTCTTTTGCGATCATTTTGAAGACTTTGAAAAATTGTAAGTTATTTAATACAGTTATTTTTGCTTTTCAATAAAAGCTCATTTTTATGTTTCAGTTACACCAGAAATGATGGTGATTATTTTGAGAGTATTATTGAACGCATCTTTTCTAAAGTTCAAAATCAAGAACAACTTGATAAAGTAAGAAAATATTTTTTTAGGAAAAAAATTTTCAATTTTCTTAGCGGGAAGTTAAAACTGTATCTTGTACTGATTAGGGCTATACATTTAAACCGGTTAAGCCGGTTAAAAAAGTTAACCAGGTTAACTAATTAGCTAACCATCAGCTTAGCCGGTTAACTCAAATTAGCTGAGCTAATTAGCTAATTTTTTAACTGGTTAACTTGAATTAGCTAAGCTAATAAGCTAATCAGCTAATTTTTTAACCGGCTAAATAGTTAAATTAATTTTCAAAATAGATTTATGTATGGGGCATTCCATGCTAAATCGACCACTTTTGACTCCGCCCCTTTTCGATTTTTCTGAAATTTTTTTATTTTTCTCTATCCTATTGAAAAAAATTTTCAGAATTTTTCCAAATTTTTTTATCCAATTTGGATTTATATTTAACGTTTTTTTTTTTTAATTTTGGAAAAAAACGAAAATTTCGGGATGATAGTCATTTTTGATTTTTTTTTTTTTTAAAAAAAAGAGTATTTTTAGCGAATTTCCTGAAATTTTCAGTGGCATTTTTTTTCTTCCTGTTCTTTCTTTAGAAATGAAAAAAAAAAACTTTTAAACGTTTGTTTTTTGTTATACCAGTGAAAATTTTTTAGCAGATATAGAAAACATCAAAGTCTGAGAAAAAAAAATAAAAACAACAATTAAAAGTGACAATCATCGATAAAATTTGATTTTATTTTTCAAGAAAGTTAGATCAAAAATTAAAAGGAGCGTTGAATTATTTTTTCGTATTTTTTTTCCAAAACTACATGCAAAAACAAAAAAAATGAAATTGTTGTTCGGTCCATTCCGCATGAAATTGTGAGAGAATACTCAAATTCTCCTGAATTTAGGATATGTAAATTATTTAAATAAAAAAATAAAGTCACATTCCATTCAAGTCTACTCTTTATAAATCATTCAATAAAAATGTTTTTAGCTACTGTGTAAATGAAAATAAATTAAAAAAAAATTTTTTCTAATTTAATTGCCCCAAAATTTTTGAAAGTTTATACGTTGCTCCAAAATAGACCGAACAACAATTTAATTTTTTTGTTTTTGCATGTAGTTTCGAAAAAAAAAAAAAAAAATACGAAAAAATAATTAAATGCTTCTTTTAATTTTTGATCCAACTTTATTGAAAAATAAAATCAAATCTTATCAATGATTGTCACTTTTCATTGTTGTTTTTATTTTTTTTTCTCGGATTTTGAAGTTTTTTAAATCTGCTAAGAATTTTTAGAATGGTATAACGAAAAACAATTATTTAAAAAAACCGGTGACGTTAGCCAAGTCGTCTAAGGCGCATGGCTTATAGAAGACTCGGACTAACTTACCGGCCAGGCGTGGGTTCGAATCCCAAGCTGGTCTTAGAAACCAACTTGGTTGATATTCGGCCCTTGCCGCGTAGTTTAAGATTTACACAACCCAAAAAGACCCCAACGTACCACTCCCAACAGTTAAAGTCGGCGATATGACCACAGCAGTTAAAACCGACTCTAAATAATAAATAATAAAAAAAAAAAACAAAAAAATTATTTAAAAAAAAAATTTTTTTCCATTTATAATGAAAAAAAAAAAAAATAGAAAGAAAAAAAATGCCATTCTGAGAATTTCCGGAAATTCGCAGAAAATACTGAAGTTTTTTATAAAAAATAATAATCGAAAATCAAAAATGACTATTATCCCGGAATTTTCGTTTTTTTCCAAAATTTAAAAAAAAAAAAACGTTGAATATGAATCGGAATTATTATTTTCATTTTTTTTAAAGTTCATTTAAAAACAAAAATTTAAAAAAAAAATATCCCAATAAGTTAATTTTCAACAAATTTATGGTTATTTAACTAAAACAAGCTTTTTTTCAATAACTTGTAACTTTTTTTTTGGTTGAGCAAAAAAAATTTGAAGAATTTTGAAATTTTCTTTCAATAGGGTAGAGAAAGCTACAAAAATTTTAGAAAAATCGAAAAGGGTCGGGGTCAAAAGTGGTCGATTTGGCATGGAATGCCCCACACATAGATCTATTTTGAAAATTAATTTAACTTTTCAGCCGGTTAAAAAATTAGCCCATTAGCTTATTAGCTTAGCTAATTTAAGTTAACCAGTTAAAAAATTAGCTAATTAGCTCAGCTAATTTAAGTTAACCGGCTAAGCTGATGGTTAGCTAATTAGTTAACCTGGTTAACTTTTTTAACCGGCTTAACCGGTTTAAATGTATAGCCCTAGTACTGATGTATTTAATTTATATTACAGATGAAATCACTTGTTGCGTCTCACAAGGATAAATTAAACAAAATTATATCCGAAAAGTTTCCATCAATCGATATTTTATTAGAAGAAGCTGAAAAATCAGTTCAAGGTATACAGTCTTTCGTTTCTAAATTTGAGGAACTTATAGACCAATATTTTACAAAAGAAGCTGATGGTAAATTAAAATTAAAAAATTTGTAATTTAATGAAGAAATATTGGAATAGCTATTCAGATTTTATAATAAAAAAATGTAAACACTTTATTTATAATAAAAATTATTTTATTTAATTTATTGAACAATAATTGGTCTTCAAATTAAATATCAAATACTAACAACCTTGCAGTCACTATGTGACTGCTGTGACTTGTGAACTATAAAAAATTAAAATTTTGCTTTATTAAATAATGAATTTTGTTAAATTGTACTGTATTTTTTTAACTATTGACATTTTTGAAGATGTAAGCAGGTCATTCCGATGTTACCCTCATCAAGACCTTTCCTTTAAGTACCCACATCAATTTTTCATATGTTTTTCATATATTCATATATATATAAATATATGAAATATATGAAAAACTGATGTGGGTACTCAAATGAAACCTCTAGACGAGTGTAACATCGGGATGAGCTTATATATTTAATAATATCAATAGTTTACAAGATACAAGGTCGTTTCTTATTTATGTTTAATTGCACTGTACTTTTTCAACTATTGACGTTTTTAAATATATAAACTCATCCTGATGTTATATTCATCAAGAGCTTTCATTTGATTACCCACATGCATTTTTGATATATTTTTCATATATACATATATATAATATATATATATATAAATATATGAAAAATTGATGTGGGTACTCAAATAAAAGGTCTTGATGAGTGTAACATCGGGGTGAGCTTATATCTTTAAAAATGTCAATAATTCTCAAGATACAAGGTCATTTCTTAATCATGTATCTAGAGATAGAGTATTTTTAAATACAGCTTAGATACTTATCATAATAAATTAACTATCGTTGAAAATGAAATGAAACCTTGAAAAGGCACAAATTCAAGTCATGACCTTTGTAATGACACTAAATTTCACTAATAAACCGATTTTATCATATGACTATCCAGGAAACAAAATTTTTCTTATTCTCTTATTAATAATATAGATTAATTAATATCTTCTCTTGAAAAAATTACACTTTGAAAACTTTTTTATCAACTTTAAAAAGTTAACTAAAAATTTTTAATTAAAAATTGAAGCAAATTTTATTAAAATATTGAACATAAAATATTTATAGATTCTAATATAAAATTTTCATATTCAACAAGGTCAGCTGCTCAAGAATCGATCAGAATACACTGATATTCACTATTGCACTCTACTATGACACACATTCATTTATTAATGTCTTCTCACGACCTTATCGTAGTAAACTACGGATCAACAATGAATTAAATTAATAAATTGATAATTAAAAATTGAAAATTCATAGCCGTATCAATTGAATTATTGCAGTCTTATAAACAGTTTGATTTCTTTTCAAGGAGATTGATAACAAATAAGTATAGATTAACAAATCAATACAATGAAACAAATAATATTTATAGTGTGTACAATAGCTGTGACATTTAATCAAGGGTTGCCGGTTCGTGAAAGTGAAACAGATAGTTTTCTAATTGAATCGGACATTGATCAAGAGTACGGTCATCGTTTGCCACAAAGTACAGCACCGCGAGTGTATGTAATTGAATTTGATCCGGATTTTATCGGTGAATTATTTACATTCACCGGTAATAGTACAATTATTTTTGAAGTACTTGAATATACTTCATCAGTAATTCTCCATAGATCGGATAAAATAACAATAGATAGAAATTTTACGCACCTTGTAGATATAAATGGAGCGGCCATTAAGCCGGAGAAACAAAAATGGAGTCCGTGGAATGAATTTTATAAAATAACATTTTCTCAAAAATTAGAACCAGGAAATTATAGTTTAAAAATGAAATGGTCTGGTATTGACGCGACTGGTAGCTTGTATGATTTTGGATTCTTTAGACAAGGATTTTTTCGAGCTTATGATAAAATAGAAAATGATAAACACAAGTAAGTTCTAAATTATGTTAGTAAATTATTAATTAATTTATTATTTAATTATTAATTTTTTTTAAAATTAAAATATAGTTTATAATTTATAATTTTTTTTTTATTTAAAAAATCCCTTTCATAAAAAATTAGAGGTTTTTATTTATAATGACAAATTAGCCGACATTTTTTATTTTTGATTCTGTTTAATTTATTAAATTAGAACTAAAAAATTTTTTTTCGTAATGATTTTTTCAATAATAAATATTCTAACAATTTTTAAATGTCGGCTAACTTTATTGTTATTTTTATGTAATGATAATAAAATTAAAAATGAAAATTAAAGCCGACACGTGAAAATTTTTATAAATTGTTTTTTATTGAAAAAATTATTGTAAAAAAATTTAACAAGTTGAAGATTTGAAAAATTATCTGTGCAATTTTTATTACTTGTAATTAATAAAAAAAATTAAATGTTGAACGTCGGCTAATTTTAGTATCATAAATTGAGAATGATTTTTGATTTTTTTATAAATTAATGTACAAGTAAAAAAAACTACTTAAAAAAAATTGCACGGATAATTTTTCAAATCTTCAACTTGTGAAATTATTTTTTCATAATTTTTTCAATAAAATAAATTATAAAAATTTTTAGATGTCGGCTAATTTAATTTTCATAAATAAAAAGACATTTAATAATTTTTAGAATTTTTTAAACAAATAAATTGTAGCAAGAAAAAATTTATTTAGAAAATTCTATCTTTAAAAGCTCTAAAAATTATAAATGAAATTTGTTAAAAATAATTTATTAGACTTAGTTTATTTTTAAAGAAAAATAAAAAAATTGTCTGGTAATTTTAGTGCAATTGTTTGTATTATAAAAACTAAAAGTTTTTTTTTTTTAGGTACCTTGTTACGACTCACTTTGAACCTTCAGGAGCTCGTAGCGCATTTCCATGCTGGGACGAGCCAGGATTTAAAGCTCAGTTTGAAATATCCGTAAAACATTTTCCAAATTATACGGCGTTATCTAACATGCCTGAAAAAAGTCGTCAATTATTACCGGATGGCAGAATTATCACTCACTTTGAAAGATCTTTGAAGATGTCTCCTTACCTTCCTTGCGTAGCAGTAGCTGATTACCAGGCTATAAAAAATCAACATGGGAACATAACATTCTATAGCTTAGAAAATAATTTAGATTCACTGAAATTCGCGCTAGAAATCAGTGAAAAAGTTATTTCGATAATGGAAGCTTATACTGGTGTACCGTATGCACTGCCTAAGTTGGATCAAATCGCTATTTCTCAGTATAAAGGCGGAATGGAACATTGGGGTCTTGTCAGTTATGAGTGAGTAATTTTCTTCTTATTCCTCTATTTTTATCTCACAATAAATTATCTTTAGGTCATCATCCGTTAAGTTAGAAAGTACCTCACCAGATTCAGATCTAGACAGCAAGTACAACATACTTATTATTGTCGCTCATGAACTAGCTCACCAATGGTTCGGTAACCTAGTAACTCCTGTTTGGTGGGATGATACTTGGCTAAATGAAGCTTTTGCAGCATATTTTGAATCTAAAATAATTGATCAGGTAAGGTATGTATCATCGAGGTGATGCGACCGCTAAATTTCGGATAATTGATCTTTAAAAAAATGAAGAAATATTTTATTCAAGTATTTTAAAAAAATTAATAGATAATTAAATTTTTTTTTGGATCAATTGTCGGTTCAGCTGTCTGTAACAATTTATTGAAATTTTTGAATTTATTTTTAATAAATATACTTGGGCTGATTTTTAGATCTATCCAAATCAACATATAATGGATTACTTTGTAGTAAATGATGTAAATTATGGATCTTATGATGCTGAGAAATTGTCTTCTTCAAAAAATGCCAAGCCGATCAAATGGATGCCTAACAATAGAATAGACCTTAGAAAAATATTCAGCCCAGTCACATATTGCAAGGGAGCTGCTGTTATTCATATGCTTGAACATATTCTTACGGAAGAAGTCTTTCGTGAGGGCTTGCAGCGGTACTTTAAAGCCCAGTAAGAATTTTTTCACTGAATTATTATGCTAGTTTTTTATAATTTTTCTAACAATTGCAGGAAATATTTATTTTTAAAATTCTATCTTTAGAAGATCTAAAAAAAAATAAATTTTTTTAAAATAATTTTCTAATTTATTTAAGAAAAAAAATGAAAAAATTTCAAGTGTCTGCTAATTTCAGTATCATCTTTTAATTATATCATTTTTTATCAATCACGATGATTAGCCAATTTGGAACTGTGGTGACAGATGATCTTTGGAAAGCTTTTCAAGAAGTATATGATAAAAAGCATGGAGACAAATTACTGAACATTAAGAAGACTATGGATCCTTGGATAATGCAAACTGGAACTCCTATTGTAACATTAACTCGCAATTATGATACAGGTGAAACAAATTTAACTCAAACAGATTCTGGAGATACTAATTCTGGAAATAAATGGAACATTCCAATCAACTACGCGACTGAATCTAATCCAGATTTTTCATCTGTTTCACCTTCGACATGGCTGAATGAAGAAGAAGAAATGATAACACTGCAAAATATTGATAAAGATGATTGGATTATTCTCAATGTTCAGCAAAGAGGTAATTAGTTTGAATTATCACCATTATGGCTACCCTGATAGCCACCACATACTATAAGTTCTTGTAGTTAAATTCTTATTGATAAGTTTATAAATGCCCATCCTTAACAAGTTATCTATAAGCTTATAGTTAACTTGAATAAAAAATTTCGGCAACTTAACGGCAATTGTTTCAATACAATTCTTTGAAGTAAAATTTGACCATAACTTTACCATAACTTGTAGATTAAAACTTATTGCCAACCTAATTTTCGTCAAGTTATCTAAAATTCGCGGCACTAGGTTATCTGAAAGTTATAGTATGAAATGGTTATCAGGGTAGTTATTGAGAAGAAATGTTTGATGGTAATTTTTTCCAGGTTTTTATCAAGTTAATTACGATCAAGAAAATTGGCGGCGTCTTGCAGAATTTCTTCTCAAGGAACACGAAAAAATTCATCCTATTAATCGCGCGCAACTTATAGTTGACTCTGTGAGATTATTAGCTGACGATTTATCATACGTAAATGTTTTTTTTAATATTACGACGTATTTGTACAAAGAAAAGAATCTTCTGCCATGGGCATCAGTCGCTGAAATCATGGCCGCGATGGCTCAAATATTTCGCAATACAAATGCAGAACATCTGTACAAAATGTACACTCTTTTTCTTACTCGAGGGATATCTGAAGATGATACCTTTGAAGAAGAAAACTTTTTTAGCGTTAAAATAAGAAATATTCTTAATCATTTACTTTGTGACTTTGAACAAGCTCAGTGCAGGTCGCGTGCGCACCGACTTTTTATTAATTATTTAGAAAATCCTTCAAAAAATGTGTAAGTTGCAAGTTGCTTAATTGAATAATTTTCACTTATTTCTTCTTATTTTTTAATGCGAAATTTTTTTCTTCAAACAGTTCGGACTGGATTATCTGTTCGGGTCTTCAAGAATCAAATGAAACTATTTGGAAAAAATTTATGACCAATCAGGATCTGTTTAGAAAGTTTTTACCTAATTCTCAGTATAGCTTCATAAAATGTATGAGTCAAAAAGAGGAACGTGATAAATATATGACTGAAATAATCGGAAATTCAACTTTGAGTTCTAGTTTAGTTACTGAAATTTTTAAAACTTTTTTGAATAGCAGCTATGACAATGTTAATTATATAATGCAACATTTCTTTGACAATTTTGATGATATTCAAGAATTGTAATTTTTTTTAAGTTTTATTTAATAGTTAAAATAATTAAAAAAAAAAAATATTTTATTTATTGAAGTTTTATTTGTATTTTAGCTACACAAGAAGTGATATTCAATATCCAATGGTTAATATTACTTCTTTGATGATTTCGGGGATAAAAACTCAAGATCAGTATGACAAAGTATGTTTTCAGAATTTAAAAACTAGTATTTTACAAAATCCTTTATTAAAAAGTTGATGTGACATTTTTAGTAGATTTCATAGAAATCTAACTATTGCATTGGTCCTCATGACGGAACTTTTGAAAAATTTTGCTATATTTCGACTCAGCTCGTCAAGCGGATTCAGAAAATGCATATGG